ACAACAAATTCATAATCGAAGAATTTTGCGAATATAGTGTTAGTCAAGATGGTGTAAATCTAAGACATCCAATCTTATTCGCGATTGATCCTGAAGATGTATCATCCTATGGTGTGTCACAAAATGGCAGTCAAGAATACTATAACGAATATATAACGAAGAAGTTCGCTATCGTAGTCGCTCACAGTAGGTTTTTGGTATCCAAATTGATCTATTTCATCTACGAAATATTGTTAACCTATGAAAAGGTTTACGTTAGAAATCACAACAAATTACAGCAATTGAAGGACTTTATGAATATGCCCATCAATTACAATAATGTAATATGTTTAGACACCATAGGCTTTAAGAATAGAATACTTGTAGGTACAAATTGTTACTATCACGACCATAAACTAACTAATTACTGCGCGCGTGACAATGCTAACGACATGGCAAAATGGTTGAAGAAAAAGATTTTCCCCTATTCCATCGCAATTATTGATTTAAATGGATACCGAACCTTGAAGGGACGTTTTAGAGTTAAAGAACTTTTTATCGATATAATAAAAGATGATGGCAGCTCCATTGCCCATAAGTCGGTGGTGACGGTGGTTCCTCAAGCAGACGACACTGCAGTGGCGCTGGTTGATGCTTATAACGCTTAGAACGATACATACTACAATAAACATGGTATAAAGTGGAAGAGCGGTAATTTACCATTGTCAGCTCTTAAAAGTACAATTAATACATTTCTAGGAAAGTATAACGTTACAGTTATTTTCGTCAAAAATCGTGACATTGAAATAAAATTGTTTGCAATCGTAAGAAACATGTCTAAATTTGAAATTGTCCGTTTAAGTGACTATAATTATCCAGACACAGGGCACTCTATTCTCTCCTATGGATGTAAGTTCCATGAAAACCGAGATAAACGGAAAAATGTTTGCGCTGGAATGAGTACCTTGCGAATGAGGATTTTCATTGTCGATATGCAACTTTTCAAAATGGACGTCTTGGAGAGTGTTAAAAATTTCAAACGAATATCGCAAGGACTCATCGATGCTGATAATAGCAGCACTAGCGATCCACACATCTATAAGTCGCCCTCCAATAAGACTAACGCTGACTCAGATGCTGACAATAATGACTCAGTTAGGCTTGTAATTGACGAAGATGCTGATACTAGTCTCTAAAACCATCCCGTTTATTGAATTCGATAAGCGATCTTATCTATATTATTATTATTGATGATTTTGATTTTAACAATTTGAGAATATTACTATTGATACAATTTTTTGGATGATTTGTCATTGATAAAGCCTGCTACAGGATTTGTGTTCTTCAAAGTGATGAAATTAATAGCGGCCAGTTTGTCGATTTCGGGTAGAAACAATTGAAAGACCGACTCGATTTTTCGGCGGTAGATAGGTGCAAATCCTAGAAGTTCATAACTAATTACTTCATGGTCCTCTAATGTAATTTATGTTGATTAATATCACTAATTCGACCATGAAAAGCCGTATAAATCAAAACTTCTAGGACCATAACAATAAATATTCCCGATTAAACCTCATTTCTGGTACAGGATTTGTGTTCTTCAAAGCGATGAAATTAATAGCGTCCAGTTTGTCGATTTCGGGTAGAAAGAATTGAAAGACCGACTCGATTTTTCGGCGGTAGATAGGTGCAAAGCCTAGAAGTTCATAACCAATTACTAAATGGCCCTCGAATGTAATTAATATTGATTAATATCACTAATTCGATTATATAAAGCAGTAGCATCAAAATTTTACCTAATAAACTTCATTTGATCACCAACTTGACCCCTATTAACTCATACCTCTAACGTTTATTCTCTTTTATCCTTAGATTCGGCACATTTTTAGAACACGATCCAGGTAACATGTGCTTGAGTAAGATTTAGGTGCCAGTGTCTTGAGCAAAACCCCTAGTTGCTAGTGTCTTTTTCTATATATGGGTCTTGCTCAAGTTCATGTTGAAAGAACTGGTTCAAGATTTATATATAACTAGCTCAAGACATCTTGTGGAAGAATATGAGACTAGTCTAATGCAAGGTGCATTGAAAAACTTTCTGACGGATTTTTTGAATCAGAAACTCACAACAGACACTTACCCATGACTTGCTCAAGATTTCCTCAAGATCCGTAATTCTCAGTAATTTGTTCATTTCTAAAGCATTTGTCAACCAAAAACTAACAGCAAATGTTGAAGCGTAACTTGTTCAAGATTTGCTCAAGATGCTTGATGCATTATATATTTTATAGCACTTTTTCCCCTCCACTACTTGAAGATCTATTGATTCAGTGGTGGTCATTTTAAAATAATTTTGTCTTGATCGATAAAACAGTAGGTCTATACTCTAAAAGGTTAAGCTGAATGAGATCCACTGATCCTATAGTAAATATAGGAGGGGTAGAATGATAAGAACGGTCATTCGAAAACATTTGATCTTGAGCAAGTCTTGCACAAATATATTCAGCATGCTTCTGGTGTCAGTCTTTCTCAAGAATTGATATAGTTAGTTTATAGATAAGCATCTTCAGATTTTCTCAATTTTCTTCCACAATTGTTGAGCTATAATCTGGCCGAAAGTTCTTGTACAAGGCTTGTTCAAGACTTGTCAATTGAATTTGCTACAAGTATCTGGAGCAAGACCCATAGGTAGAAAAAGACACTAACAACTATCTTCAATAATAATTAAAGAATCAACCAAAAAAAAATTTATCTAATTTCATTCATCACAATCAAATCTACAGTTCTAAATCATTAATATCAATGACCGGTAGCTCGTTCAAACCATCAATTATAAATTCACGAGCTGTATCATCATGAAGATAGTACCTACTGTCGATATTAATATCATCACTCGCATTTTTCCCGCGATTCCATATTTCAGGCTTATAAAATTCATTGCCAAGGATCCAATAGAGCATCTGACATCCTCTAGGACCCGCACAGACGTTGCCTGGTTAATATTGCACTCTTCGGCGTAATTGTAATCAGATAGAGAAATAACTTCAACACTTATATCCGGAATAAGATAATTAAGAAAGTAGCTTTGATGATGGCTTCTCACATAAACGATATTAACATCATAATCCTTAAAAAGTTTTCTGATCTTGTTTAAAAATCGAACTTCTTCGTAATTACCATGAAGATAATGAATGCCAAAATAATTGTAATAATTGTCTTTGTAATTCACAATGGTAGCTGTATCAAAATGCGGTGATAATTTTACAACAAACAATTTTTTGTAAACAATATCACCTTGATGATTGATACCAAGTACGCTAAATTCTTTTACTCGGAATGAATTGTTAGAGTCATAAAAACCGGTAAAGTTAACTATTAATTGCATATTTTTCCTTAAATTTAATTTACTGATTTTCCGGTCGATCACCCAGATGGCCATTAATTGAGCATGGTAATTCGCACAGTAATTTCTAGTACTTTCGTGATGATTACAAAGGGTTCGTAGCACTTCGTTAGTATCATCAAAGCCAATTTCCTCCAACAATCTGACCTTGTTTTTGTACAACAGGACAATTGGGCAGAAACTGATCAATTGTTTCAATTGTTCCTTATTGCGGAGATAAAACACGTTCGAATCTTGGATAATGTCTTTTACTATTTCTTGAAATTATTCCAAATCTATTGCATTATCCACGTGATTCTTAACGCCATATTTATCATGAAACTGCCGATAATTAGAATTACGATGGCACTGTGCCTCAATATCCGGTGGAATAGCGGTTACAAATACTCTTACCACTGTTTGAGTGACGTCGATTTGACAGACGGAAAATTCTCTTATAATAAATCTTCGGTTGAAGTTAAAGCCGCTGAAGTCTATTACGAGTTTCATGTTTAAATTTTTTTTTGCCGTTCTAATATAATGAATAATTAAAAAAAAAAAAAAATTTTTTGTGTTTATACCATTGAGGGGGTTCGAACGTAAAAATTTTTTTTTACTTTCAGTCTTTCCAATATTCGTAAAAATTCTTTATTCTAATTTAAAATAATTTGAACAATTTAATAATTGATGATTTTTACTTATTTAATAAAATAAAGTAATAAAATGACTTTGGTATTTATTACTTGCCGGATTAAATAAACAGATTTGGCAACAGCGCGTTTGATTATACCCATTACAGAGACGTGGATGAGTGTGTCAGTTAAATATTTCTCTCTCTGTAACTATATTTCTATCCTTTTGTTTTTTCTCAGCTGTTGACGCGACGTTGCCAAATCTTTATTCGAATAAATAGCTGACGATAAACCAGTCAAAAACATTAAATTAAACTTTAAATATTTCGAAAATTATATCAGTAATGTATTATTATTAAATTTTTTTTATATTTTACAATAATCCAAGTTTTGCGTGTATAGTTTTTTATTCGTTAAAGTTGGGAGGTTAATATTGAAAAAAATAATTAAAGTCTCGACTAAACGTTTGTCCGCCATAAGAGCCCGTGTATAAGGAGATAAAAAATGTGATTTTTTTAATTTAATATCTAAGTAACTAAACGGTGAATCTTTTTTAAATTTTGGGATTAGATAAATTACGTATTTATTTATATGTATACTTAATTTCAAAGCTCAAAGTTGGAAATTATTTTTCACATTAGATTCGCTCGAACCTCCTTAAGCAGCTAACTTCCGAAGAGACGCTCTTAAGACCGATGAAATTAATATAATCCAATTTGATGATTTCACATAGAAAGAATTGGAATATTGATTTGATTTTTTGATGGTAAATAGGTGTAAGTACTAGAACTACGTTACTTATAATTTGGTAGTCCTAAAATGTTTTTAATATCGATTAATATCAACATTTAGACTGCCGGGAGCATTACAAGCACTTAGATTCATTGTTAATGATTTCTTAAGCACTGTAAGACTTTTAGATTTAGGAAGTAAGTCGTAATTTATAGTATCGTATGTAATAAATAGATCCACAAAATGTAAATTTAGTAAAAAAATTTTTAATAACAAAATTACATTGTTTTAATGCTGCACATCTCCTCCATAATGCCGCGTACTTTCTTCATCTCTGTAATTTAAAACACACTTTAAAATATTGCTATCACTACTTGCGTCATAACGTATGAGTATATTATAACATATGTGTGTCCATATCCACACGTGTGAACTTATGCACACATACTATGAATAATATATGTAATCCTTGTATTTCTATGACACAAAAATATATACAGCCCATTATTATTTCGCATTAATATTATATAAAAACGCACTTACCCTCGATTAGAACAGCCAATTTGTCTTTGGGAATGTTGATGGATACTTTCTCATCATCACCGTCCAATTTTTTTATTTTTAACCCCATGGTTACCATCACGGAATTTTTAGTCTCGTCTTTTTTAGTCTCTATGTCTATAGAGGACAGCGCGTTTACTGGAAATTTATTAAAATTACGGGTAATTAATTATAATAATAAGAATTTGATAATAATGATGATAATGATAACTTACAGCGTAAAGATTGAGCCAACAAATGATCGTGAATTTGATTGTAATTATCAGTATGCAGCCGCCCGATAACAATACTGTGTTCTTTGGGCAGTCCTAGTTGCTGCAATTCGCTGCTAAGGTCATCCGCGTTGACTTCGTAACGCGCTGAAGAGGTTATTATCATTTCTAGGGCCGATACTATGGACATTGCGTCGTCCCAATCTGTAATAAATGGTGAATAAATAGATAAATTTTTAATTCCTAATAGAAAATATATAAAAAAAAAAGAATTTTTTAAGCATAAATTCTTTAAAAAATTAAACTTTATAGAAATTTTTTTACAATTATTAACAATTTTTTAAATATAGGATAATATAGTATGTAAATAAAATTTTATTTATCGTACTTTATGATTTAAATCAAAATAATTGGTTATAATAATTTATAAATTGTTTATGGAAGTAATAACACTGAAGTTAGCAGTCACGGAACGGAGAGTAAGACCCCCACTAGCTGGGAGCCGGAGAAGGGGAACCAGGCCGCGTTAGACTCGGGAGTGGGGAGCGCTCGATTGTCATTCGAGCGCCGACTGAAGTCCAGTCAACATCTATAAAATCAGTATTCTCGCTAATAATTCCGTGATTTTATTTAAAATTTCAGGCATAGGAGGATGTTTGTAATCTACTGGACATCTATTGATTATTTTTTACAATGTATGACATTTTTTTGAGCCTAATGAACCTAATTAATTGAACGAGTACTCAAAATTTTCATTTAAATCATAATAATATATTTTTAGCAATATAATTAATTTTAAAATAATTGGTCAAAAATCTAGCGGTAAAAAAAATATTTATATTTATTTTTCTCTGTTTAAATGTAGGTAATATTAAATTTAAAATATATAGATGGCGTATGGTAAATGGTAAATGCGGTAGATTTTAAATGTAACAGCTACAATAAAATTGATAATCTGGCAAGGAAATATTGCAGAACAAAAAAGGAAGGGGGACTAGGCCGCGGTAGACTCGGGAGTGGGGAGCGCTCGACTGTCATTCAAGCGCCGACTGAAGTCCAGTCAACATCTGTAAAATCTGTATTCTTGCTAATAATTCCGTGATTTTATTTAAAATTTCAGGCAAAGGAGGATGTTTGTAATTTACTGGACATCTATTGATTATTTTTTACAATGTATGATATTTATTTAATTTGATTCTTTTTATTTTAATTATTATGTTATATATTTCACACCATAATCAATAGTTATTGCAAAATCAGTAAATACAAATAATTTAACAGCTAATTTTGGTTGACCTTATAAATAAAAAAATTTTTTACCATTTAAAAATCTTATTAGTGTCAATTAAATAAATTTTGAATTTTTTTTATTACAATATAAAAGTAAAATATATTATATTAAGGCTAATAAATAAATTTCGATGAACAAGAAATTTAATTTATAGAAATATTCATTCATAAAGTTACCTAATTTAGCATCCTGTGTAAGCTTCTTTATTTTATCTTCCTACAAAAAAATAATTATTATCATTAATAAATTCGCTTGTTTCAATTCGATAAATACAAAAAATTCATTATTATTAGCAGTGGTTTCTAAATGGATACAAATTTAAGTAAGCGTAAAAGAAGGTATTTCCGTAATGAACATCTTTGATATAAATCTTAAAATTAAAACGGTATAAAATATCAAAGAAAAATTAATAACTACACCTTAAATAGATATTTTTGTTTTATACTAAAAAAAAAAAAAATTATTTATTGAACATTCATAAATTTTTTACTTACGTCAATTTCACCGTTGCTAAGTATCGATTTTACGACTAGTGCTCCCAATAATTTCATTTTTATTGAAGTCTGTAAATTTTGTTTTTATTTTACAATTGTTTTTTTTTTTTTGACTAATATTTTTATTAAGTCACTTACCATACGAGACATGGTGATTATCTGAGCAAGTAACCAGTCGGGGCAGTCTCCATCACCAAGAAATCGAAATTTCTATAAAAATGCGCTCTCGTTAAATTGCTGATTTTAAGCTTGTCAGGTGAGATATCACTTAATATAAGCTCATCATGATATTCAGCAGAAAATTTCCAAAAAAATGAGTACCTAGTCAAAATTTTGAAAAATTCAAAATTTTTTTTGATTTTTGAAAAATTCAAAATTTTCAATTTTTTGAAAATTTCAACTGGGTACTCATTTTTTCGGAAATTTCCCGCTGAATATCATAGTGAGTTTAGTTTTTTATTTCGAGGAGGTATAAAAGAGAAAACGAGACATTTAACGAGAAGTAATATTATTAAAAATGAAAACTACTCACCATTTTGCCGAGATAATTGAACCTGGAACAAACAAAACCGTGATTGAGTAAATATGAGTGTAATAAATAAATAATTGGACGAGATATTTGTACAGTGGTCGCACATGAGATTGACATAAATATGTGAAGAAATGATATTAAAATGAAAATAAAAATACATGTTAGAAGTAAATTAAATTCCCAGTACAATACGTTTAGTTGTCGATGTGAAACGAGGTAAGTAATATATACTAAAAATGGTATTAAACACACCAGGGAATTAAATACCATAGAGTTCGGAGAGCATATATACGTCCGAGGTTTGAAAATTCTTTCATTTTCTTACGGAACTCGGTCCTGAGACCTTCGGCTCTGTCGAAAATTTTCGAGTTACTCACCACGAATGAGTGTGCAATTATGCGTGGATTTATTTTGATACTCATTCATTCCATTGCAATAATCGAGGTAAGTTTTATGTTTTCTTTATTTTAAGGAGAAAAAATTAAATTGCTAAAAAAAAATTTCAAAAATTGTGTCTAAAAAAAAAAAAATTATTTTTTTTCAGTGCGAAAATCAAGTAGGAGCTAAAATCCAATTTCCAAAAGATTTTAATGTCCAAATACCGGATACGAAATTTCATTCTCAAACAAGGTAAAGAAAAAAAATTTTTTTTGGGTAAAAAAAATTTTTTTTTTTTTTTGATAAAAAATATTTTTTGGATAAAAATTTTTTTTTTGATAAAAAATAAAAAAAAAATTTTTTTTTCTAGATTTGAGTCAAGTAACCAACAGCTTAAGGTGAAATCACCCGGAATTTTATCAAAATTTGACAGTGAGTGTAATTGTCCCGAAAAAGCGTACATCGTGTTTTTAAGTGCCGACAATATGAAGAAATTCCAGCGCCGCAGCTCCTCTGGTGGCCGAATGATTGAGCAGCCATTTTATGTTGACGAGCCTAGTTGGGTGATGCTCAGCGAGTCAAACACTAATTTAATGTCGAATGACAACAAATTGATAAAGCAAACTGATCAAGATCCGTTTTATTTAGCCCGCGGAAGGAAATCCACTATGACGATGAATTTTCCGTTTAGTAATGAGAAGAAACGCTGGTTCAATTTAAAAGACAGGCAGAAGCGTTCGGACATTTCGGATTTATTACACGAGCCATTTTTTATATCACGTGGTAAAAAAAAAAGTTATAATGATTATTATTACCACAGAGGTGACACTCGTGTAAATGAAAATAATAGAGGGATTTATTTGTATGATAAAAGAAATGAAGGGAGTAATAATAATGGTTATAGTTATAAATTGTTGGAGGATAATGACGATACAGATGGGCAATCACGTGGTCGCAGAGATTTTGTTGATCAATTACTCCGAGAAAACGATCCTTTTTACGTCACTCGAGGTTAGAGCTTCTCCAATATTTAGAAAATAATCAAGAATATCTAATCATTTTTCAATTAATTAAGGTGTTACATGGGTTTCACGGTTTCAAAAAATCCATTTATTTTGTCTTATTAAATTCCACAACATCTCTAGAATATTGTCCTAAAGTTTCAAATCGATTCGAATAATAGTTTCGGAGATACAGTTTTAAAAAGTTGCGCGCTCAAGGCGCTGTTGTATTGTCACTCAAAACTTTAAACGCGTTTTTCTCAAAACTATGTTTTCAAAGACGGTTGTCAAGATTTCTCGAGAACTACTCAACCGATCTTGATGAAATTTTAGACAGGTCTTCGAGATATAATTTACAAGGTCTTGAACGAAGGATTTTTTTTTTCAATTACAACTATTTAAAAAAAAAATCCCGCGAAATTTTAGCCAAATTTTTAATTTTTTTGTAAAAACCTCTGGCGAAAATCCAATTTTCATTTTTTTTTTTTTTCCTTCGTTCAAGACCTAGTTTGAAGTCTTAACTAAAGCACATATTTTTTTTTTTCACTTCTGATGATCCTGCTAGGAGTTCTGCTGTCTACGCGGACGCATCTTTTTTCCGAGGGTTCGCCGGAAATGACGTCACATTAGCAGAGTTTTTAATATTTTTTTTTTTTAATTTCAGTAATCCCTTATTAAACATGTATCTTTAAGACAGTAAAAAGTTTGAATAAAATATTTCATTTTTTCTATTAAAAAAAAATTGTTGAAAATAGGCCATTTTTTCCCGAAGGGGACCCATGTAACTCCTTAATCAAGTGTTTAAACAGTTAAAGAAGCTTTTTTATCAATATTTTAAGTCACGCGCGATTACCGATGCGCCATTTAATCTGTGTCTTATATATATTTGATTTGATATCGCTAACCTTATCAAAAAATTAGATTTTTTTAAGTTCACTGGTCAAGAGATATAAATAATTAAAGTTTTGCAGAAATATATGAGCTCTTAAGGGTGTCTCCGTTCAATAGCGCGGGAAAGTGATGGTTTATGAAAAATCGGCAAACTTAACCTAAAAAAAAACTTTTAAATAGACAGAACGATGTTTCAAACGCAAATTGGATAGAATCAAAAACGATTTACCACAAAGTATTAATTTAATTAATTTTTAAATATAATTAGCTTTTTATCTCTGTTGATTATCGGAGACATTAACTCCTTCGTGTTAACTAACGACAAAATGGCGGCATAAATTCTAAGCGGCAAATTTGAAGTTTGCTCCATAAATCCTCCAGATATTCTTGCACGGTTCATTTTTTTTTTTGGATAAAAATAAATTTCTATAATTTATACACTGAGGTTATATTTACAAATTTAAACAATAAATAAACAAGGCAAACAATTGTAGTTTAAATACCAAACTTATGAAATTGACAACAGTTGGTATTGTCGAGTGACAGCTCAGTTATATTTAATTTATATTTTATTTATTATACTATTGTAATTATTCAACAATAATACGTATCAAATTAAATCAATCAAATTTTTATATAAGTTATTTGTGTTTATTTTCGCAGTTTTGATTAATTATAATTAATTGTGATAGAAAAAAAATTGAAAAATAAAATTATTTTGACTGTGAATTGTTATTATTAAACTACCTTAAATAAATTATATTGTAGCTGTTACATTTAAAATCTACCGCATTTACCATTTACCATACGCCATCTATATATTTTAAATTTAATATTACCTACGTTTAAATAGAGAAAAATAAATATAAATATTTTTTTTACCGCTAGATTTTTGACCAATTATTTTAAAATTAATTTTATTGCTAAAAATATATTATTATGATTTAAATGAAAATTTCGAGTGCTCGTTCAATTAATTAGGTTCATTAGGCTCAAAAAAATGTCATACATTGTAAAAAATAATCAATAGATGTCCAGTAGATTACAAACATCCTCCTTTGCCTGAAATTTTAAATAAAATCACGGAATTATTAGCGAGAATACAGATTTTATAGATGTTGACTGGACTTCAGTCGGCGCTTGAATGACAGTCGAGCGCTCCCCACTCCCGAGTCTAACGCGGCCTGGTTCCCCTTCTCCGGCTCCCAGCTAGTGGGGGTCTTACTCTCCGTTCCGCGACTGCTAACTTCAGTGTTACTACTTCCATTAACAATTTATAAATTATTACAACCAATTATTTTGATTTAAATCATAAAGTATACGATAAATAAAATTTTATTTACATATTATATTATCCTATATTTAAAAAATTGTTAATTATTGCAAAAAAATTTCTATAGAGTTTAATTTTTTAAAGAATCTTATGCTTAAAGAATTCTTTTTATTTTATATATCTTCTATCAGGAATTAAAAATAAAATAATCAACGAAATTGACAAAAATTTAACTTTTTTTACTGTTTATAATAATAATGTATTTATGATTCATTCACTATTTTTTTATTTCCTGTAATCTGCGTGAGCGAGCTGGACAAGCTTAAAATAGAATAAAATTATCATAAAAATTGAAGAATAATATAAAAAATAAAATAAATATAAATATGTTTGATATATCTATATATAAAATGTGACAGTAAAAAAGAATGTGTGAAAAAACAATAGTGTGGAAGTAATGCGGATATTTCTGCTCGATCTAACTGCTTTATCCCAAATAAAGAGACAATGATAACATTATTGTCATACAAATATAAATATAAATATGAAGAAAATAACAAATATAATTATCCTTAGATAAATATCATTATAAAAAATAGTAATTACAGTAAAAATAATAATAATAATGATAATATTAACAATAATAACTAGCAACCTTGCAGTCACTATGTGACTGCCGTGACTTGTGAACTATAAATAAATAAAATTTTGCTTTATTAAATAATAACTTTTGTTAAATTACACTGTACTCTCTTAACTATTGACATTTTTGAAGATATAAGCTCATCCCTATTTTACACTCATCAAGAGCTTTCATTTGAGTACCCACATGCAATTTTCATATATTTTTGATATATACATATATATAATATATATAAATATATAAAATATATAAAAAATTGATGTGGATACTCAAATGAAAGGTCTCGATGAGTGTAGCATCAGGATGAGCTTATATCTTTAACACTGTCATAAGTTGACAAGATACAAGGTAATT